CAAGTCAATCAAGTATTTGTTTATAGGGACTTAAATTGCAACCCATAGCCAATTAAATGGACTCCTTGAATATGCAAGAGATCTTAATCCAAGTCAATCAAGTATTTGTTTATAGGGACTTAAATTGCAACCCATAGCCAATTAAATGGACTCCTTGAATATGCAACTAGCCAAGGCCAGTTCAGAAAAACTATTAGACTATGGTCCTACAAATGTCACTCCTTGCTTTCCAACATGAATGGGAATATATGGATCAAAACATACCACTGCAAATATTGACTGTTTCCCCATTGCAGAGTCTAGAGAAATGATAAGTATAGTGAACAGGAAGCCACTAGGAAATCTCAGGACTACAGGCTGGCCAAAGCATCCCAGAAGTGTAAAACGAGTGGAAATTTGCCTGGCTCTTATTCATAGCTATGGCATACCTCCAATTTGAGGCCATGGTGATTTATTAGTTTAGTAAAAATAAAAGTTTATAAGCTTTAACTTTAGCCAGAATTATTAGTTGTGTCGTGTCTGCTAGAAGTAACATTTATTTAACACCTGCAAGTAAGAGCTAGAAAGATCCACTCTGACCTCAAACGTCTCCTATATAGACTAACTAACAGGTTGTGGCTTTGACACTTAGCTAAGATATGTTGCAAACCCATTACTGGAATCAAATAAGGCAACATGATATTTAGCTTAAGCAATGGTTGTAGAGGTGTCCAGACATAAGTGTAGAGGTAAATAAAGCTCATTATTAGCATACTAAAAGCACACCCAACAGTAGTGAATTTATATGATAAGTAGAATTAAATAAATAATGGAGTATTTATGGGGTGGCTTTGTTTTGTGTACACGTGTGACTGTCATGTGACTTTGTAACCAATCAGGGATTCTCTTACTTTTGTTCCCTCTATTAAATTGGCTGTGCCTGATTTTTGGGGTGCTCTCTTGTCAAAAGCCCAGAAGCATCCCTTCTTTTTCTGTAGACCAATAAAAGAGTTTTGTATTTCTTTGATCCTATTTGGACATTGGCTTTTTCACACCAGGTTCCCATATCTAGCCAGCTTTCTGGACAACACAATTAATGGCAAATTGTTTCTGTATGGACCCAGGAAGTGGTCAGTTTGACAGAATTTTTTACTTTTACCTCTAATATTTACTCTGAGTTCAATCTTAATTTATGCAAAGTTGTGTATCAAAACAGGGATAAGCAAAGTAGTTTTCAATTTGCAAATGCAAGATTGTAACTACATATACACCCTCGCGCGAATGCACCCCAATACACCAAATATCAAGCAGTAGTACTTAAAAGTATTTTTTTTAAAAACTTGTTTGCAGTCTGCTGGAAAGCAGGGAGGGAACCAGCCATTTCCAAACGGGGGGAAAAAATCCATAGGCCCTGATGTTGTGTCAAAAAATAGCAGTCTGATCTTAGTTAAAACTGAGAGATAGGTATTCAAAACTGGTCTCAAAGTTCTTAACTAGGCACTTTGTGCCATCACAACCTTCAGGAACAACAAAATAAGTACTTTCAAGCTTTCAGCCAACACACACACACAAACACAGAGAGTATCCAATCTAACAACTGTGCATTTAATTGTTTAGTGCAGTTTCTGTGCACAAAGTAAAACTCATTCACGAACTAACTGATGGCCACAGAGGTTTCCTGAAGTTTGGCTTCTCAATATTTCTAACTGTGCTTGCTACTAAATTTAGGGACTTTAAAAAAAAGAATGCATTTATGTAACTACTTATTTCGCTCATCAAAATTAAAGAATGAGAATATGCCCCTGAACATAGAGGGCAATAAAAACTTCTGCCTGACAAAATGGTTTTTGCACACTACCTTGTTTTCCCAGACATCCAGAAGCATTATGTTTGCACTGTCGCCATCCACCTGCAAAGTTCGCTCGTAGGTGTCTTCTAGAACGGAGAACACAAAAATATTCGACATTCTTTTAGTTTTCCTTTTCACTTGATAGCTAAGAGTTTAATGTTAGGCAAAGTAAAGGTTAGAAAGGTAAAGATTCCCTCTTTGGCAGAAATTAAATAAATCATCCGTACAGTGTTGATTGTGGATTTTGTATATTGGACTTCAGGGTTCATACTAACTAATGTCTGATACAAGATAAGGCATGATTTTCAATTAATTCTTTCACAGTGAGAAAAATTATCTCAGGAATTTTTTTTAATTTCATTTGAAATAAATAAATAACTCAGAAAATATAGATTCACTGCTGCATCTATCAACAGGGCAGCTAAATCTATTTTGACTGTATTTCATGCGTGTTCTTTCCACTCCAGGCCATCACACCAGACAAATGTTAGGGGGGGGGGGGAACCTTGTTACATCTGACATTTTTATATCAGACTCTGGCAAAGATCTGAACTTTTCCATGAGTTCCAGAATTGTATAATTTCCATGATAGAAAAAAAAAAAAGATGAAGCCTACAAGAAAAATGACCGCATTGACTTTTTGCTGCAGTTCTCTTTCTCCTAAGTAGGACAAGAAGAGTAGAAAGAAGATCCAAAAGGAAAAAATAAATAAAGCAAACATGATCTTTTGACCCCCGCGGGAGCTGCAGGCAGTCCTGGAGACTCCAGTTAGGCTTAGTAATGGAAAATATTTGTTTTCACTCAATTTATGGGTGAACAGGCATTACAGCTGCAAGCAACTTAAGACAGCTTTATTTTGGAGCAAAAGTACATAGATTTAAGGGGTGGCTTTTTTGAGAAAAAGTTTGGCTGTTCCTACAAGGAGCACTAACAAATTAGCAATCCTCTTCCTTGCATTTTAATTACATTTTTTATGTTTCTTAAAGGAGCATAAACACAAGGGTGTTAAAATTCCTGATAGAGCAAAAGATTGCATGTGTTTGCCTTTGATCAACTTTGTAGCAACTTTCCCAAACTGTAAAATCCTCCAGATGTGTTAGGACTACAATTCCCAGAACCCCAACATCTTTCTGTTCTAAAACAAATGCTCAGAAGGTTCCAGTTCCATATTGCAGTGAAGATGGTGCAAAAAAGATTCCCCAAATCTTGGTTTCCTCTCCATCTTCTTGAATTTCTCACTCCCAATTCCAAGTGTAATCAATTTTGAAATCAGATTCTGAAGAGATACTTTTTAATCACATATACCCCACCTATAGTTCCATAAGTTGCAATATAAGTTATTCATGGAATAAATAAAGTGCTATTGAATTATTTAGGCTATTATTACTGCAGTGCCAATCTGTATAAGTTTAAAATGATGCCCACCCACCGCAAAAGGAAGATAGGACTTCATTTTAAAAGTGAATTATTAGAAGAGGGATGTACAGTGTATGCTATGCTGTACATCCTTTTTCTAATGAAAGGAGAATTTGAAATGTAATATAAATGTTGACTTATTGAAATGATCCAACGATGCTTTAAAAACTGCAGACCAGAGGTGGTTTGCTACCGATTTGCACCAGTTCAGGCAAACTGGTAGTGGAAATTGGAACTGGGTCGGCGAACCGGTAGGGACAGCAGGTTGGCCCAGTCCCCAGTCGCCCATGCCATGTGGGAATGGTTTTTAGTCATTTTTTAATGTGCTGTGCATGTGCAGAACACATTTACAGGCAACTGCACATGCGCAAGCAATGTGCGGCGGATGGGTGCAAGTGAGCAGTGCATGTGCAAAGCACGTGCAAAGCGAACCAGCAGTAACTCTGGCAGCAACTCACCCCTGCTGCAGATCAATTAATCGGGGCTATCTTTTATTTAATCAAAAGGCAAATCAATACAGCCTCCTCATTTTTTTTCATTTCATTTTCATTTTACTTTATTTGTATGCTGCCTTTTTCCCTGAAAGGGACTCAGGGCGGCTCACAATTCAAGGGAGGGGAAAAACAGACAAAGTTACAAAACATAAAGACCGGTGCCTTCAGGAATGATGAAGTATAAAACTCATCATGCTCAACCAAAGAACGGCTGATTAGGATTACTAGGGTTGTAGTCCAACACAGCTGGAGGACAGCAGGTTAAGGAAAACTGAAATAAGTGAATAACTTCAGCAAGTCTAATTTATTTTAAAAAATCTTACAGTGTACTCTAATGCAGAGTTATTTGAAAGTGGGTCTTATACTTTAAGTCAGTATGTTCTCATTTCCATTGTTCCAACCTTAAAATTCTCTGTTTATTGCATTTGACTTTGAAGGATGTTTCTAGCTAGACATATATAAAGTTACACTACAATAGTGCAATACTTGACATGTCTACTCAAATGTAGCCTCATTGAGGTTGATTGTGCCATAGTCCCAGGTACATGCAGATGAAAATTTAAAATTCACGCCTAAATTTAATGCTTGCAATGCTTTTTTTAACATAAACTCTAATTTTGCTTGTTTCCAATAAGTTGTCCAAATCCTGGGACAGTTTGCTTAATAGAATGTTTAAAAAGTATTTTAGCTCCAAGTTTGTCTTCTGAGCTGATCTCATTTCTTTATTTCAAATGAGATTAATAATAATGTGTAGAAATTTTACTTTTCTCATATGAATACATTTCTTAAACCTATCAACTGCTTCCATACTGTTATTCTAATTTGCATACCACCTTTTTCTATAATGTGTATCATTTGAAAACTCATTAATGATGTGTCTTGATTGAATTGAAAATATGATGAAGTAGCTGGAATTCTGTACATGTTGAATGTTTATGAAAATTGTCCAGAAGCATTAACTCCTTCATAGCAAGAATCAGTAGCTTTTATAATCATCACCCTTAAGATACATGATATTAATGGAAGATTATATACCCAAAAATAAAACATAAGCCTTTTGGTAGATTTATCAGGAAAAAAACCCAACAGTTTTGATTTCTCTTTGTTTCTCATTTTTGCACATCAGGTTTTCTCACATTTGAACATATATCCAGTTTGGTTTGTGGAGCTTGAGAATTTTCTTTTAAAGTTTGTGCTAACGTTGGGATTTTGGGGGGGTACATTTCTTAAATCATGGATCTTTTGTTCTCACTTTGATCTAATGTACACAGTTTCTGCAAACAAGTTTTCCTTATATCATGCGTTTTTGTACATTGCATTTACAAATATATATAATATTCAACAAACATTTCTCTAGAATACTTTTTTTTTTTAAAGGCATACTACATTAGGATGAGCGCTCAGTTTGGGAATTCATTAAAAAAAAGGAAAACATACTTAAATTAAGTTGGCATTCCAATGCAAACTCAAAATAGCTCCTTCCAAACCCCCAGCTGACTCTGCCATCTTCCTTAATAGAGAACCACACTCTGAAATCACTTTGGAGGCCACAGCATTATGACTTTAAGATCAGGAACTCTGAATTTATGTGTTTTATTTTTGCTTGCTCCCAAAGGCCTCTCACCCAAAAAGTTTTAACTAAAACTGGAGTGGGGGGGGGGGGGGACAAGGAATAAAACACCTACCTCCCAGAAGTTCACAATCACTGTCCAGGCTGTCATGCACACCTGCAAAGACACTTGCAATAGTAGTTTTGCCAACTCCTTGTTCCCCTATGAGAACCACTCGGTAGCAGCTGTTTCCTGACTCGGAGGAGATGACAGAATCAGAGGACTCCGATGACCAGCTTTTGCGGCAATACTCTTCATGGTTGAGCGTGTACCTTTTCTGACGGTTTGCCTCTTGGGTTTCTTTCTGCACTACCAGATGCTTCCCGTCTGTTGGAACGCTCCAACGTTGTTGCTGAGGCTGCAAGGCGCCACAACTACTGGCACTGTTGCGACGCATGGTGACGTTGTTCAGGGTCATGGCTCTATCCCTTCAAGACTAGAAAACAGCAAGGGAAAAATGGTAAACAACACAAGTACCAGTAGGTTGCATACATTGTCTGCCTGACATGGGGAATGTCCACAAGGGAAACCCTTGGTGAGCATGCCTGAAGGGTCTGCGACAACTTGCCATGGCCAACTCGCTACAGCCAACTTGCCATGGCCAACTCGCTACAGCCAACTTGCCATGGCCAACTCGCTACAGCCAACTTGCCAT